AAAAAAGAAATCTGCCTCAGGAGCTGCAGATGACCTCTGCTATTTGAGCATCAGTTTCAATGACATGTTTATTGAAAATATGTCAGAAATTATTGTAGTCAGTGTTGTTTTTTTTACCTTTGAGGGTTTCTCCCGGCTTGAACAGCAGCGTTCCCTCTGCAAACTCATAATCTGAACCTGCGTTGGCCGTACCGTCCTCTGTGCGATAATCCACCTGCAGGAGATGGGAACACAGAGGAGTGATGGGGAGAGAGCAAAAAGAGTCGTCAAGATGAAACACAAGTGAGCAGATATGAAAAGGGCAGATAAACACAAAGGGAGAGGGGGAGTGCCAAACAGAGGGAGAGAGAGCGATAGAGAGGAGGACAGCAAAGAAGAGGCATTTGGGGAGATGAGGACAGAGGGTAAGAGAGAAGAAGAAAAACAGCTTCATTAAACCAAGCCCTCTGGTCAGAAACAGGCCGATATTAAAGACTTTGAAGATAACATAAGAAAACCTTCCGCGTATCCTGTCCTTTCTCTCTGTCCTTTCAACTGCTTTGTGTTAATTAACCCCCTCCTTCTTATTTAGACAACATTAGAACCCAAATATCTAAAATGCATTTAGTTCAAATGGCTTCAAAGCCATTTATTTCTGTTTGAAGGCAAAGCTGTGTCAGTCACTCGGTGCTGCTAGTGCTACTGAAGTCAATCCCTAGCCTCTGCTCTATTTTTAGTGCCTCATGAAATGTGTATAAGTGATATATTTTTAAATGCATCCAATGGTTGGATGATATTTTCGGGATTAAATTGAAGCTGGGTAATACTCAAGAGATTTTAAGATATGTGGATAGCTGATTTTTCCCATTTTAGACTGATGTGTGAGAAGTTATATCGTCACAGCCCGTGATTATATAAGAGCTGAGTTTCCTCTAATGTAAGATGCTCTATACTCTTTGAGCGCAAAATTGATGACATCTCGGACAAGCTCACAGCTCTCCAACGGGAGATTGAGAGACCAGTGAAGGACTGTTAGATCAACTGTAAAATATACATGCAGTTGTTCGCACTAAAGGAAAAACCACCATAATTTAATGCGGCTACCACCCTTACCCAACCCAGTTGCTTGTCATGTGGTTTAGGGTGTTGTGATGTGGATATGTATGTGCTCTCTGTGCAGAGGAGCTTGCTGATCTCCCACAAGGAGCCCAGAATGAGTAGAGGTGTCTTTTTCCCCTCTTGCCCATTGTATTGTACATTTGACAGTTTTTTCACTGCAGGTGTAAACTTTGCATGTGACAAATTGATTGAAGATAGATTGGGGTAGCTTATCAGTCAATCATGCTGCTTGGATGAGAATGACTGTTTTGGAGCTGTATGGGTTCAAATTAATGACTTAACACTACAGACGTGCCCTCAATAAGACCCCTAGTATCTGTATATAAGGGACGCATTTTAACTTATATTATATTTATCTTAATTTAACAGCTGAAATGACTGTTCAAACATTCACAGTGTTGCTAATAGTAACAAGTCCACTGTGATTCATCACCTGACTCGCAGAAAACACAGTTTGTCTTTTGTGAAATGCTAAACTTTGATGTTTTGCCAACTTAATCGAACCAAACTGTGACTCAAGACTTCAAACAATGATAATTATTTCAAGTTCACCCTCAACACCCTCAGCTAATAAAAGCTTGCTATCACACTAGCACCATGTACATATTGTAGCTACAAGCAGAGCTGCTAAGAGATGCTAATATCGCACTGTGCATGCTGGATGTGAAAACAGCCACAGTTTGCTAACACAGTTTTTCCACCATATCTGCTTAAAAGTTGATATTTTGATTAGAACTTGCTTCAAATGTTCAATCATAAACTGTATATAAACTTAGCACATAAAGTAAGTAAACATGATTTGGCTGATTATTTATTTGTTGTAACAATGTTTTCCCCGATGCTACATTTGTAAGGAAAATGCATTTGTAGGTTGAGCAGCAGAGTTGAGTATGCGGGTTGTGCCAAATATTCTCTGTCAACATCAACCAGCTTATTCTGCTACTCACTCTTGATTGTTGTCATTTATCGGATTGGGTGATTGCAGCCTGAAGAAGCAGGCAGCAATCACCCCCCGTTTATTATTCATTTAATAAACGGAGGCCTCAGTAGCATGTGGCACACCATACAGAGCCACAGCAGCCTTGTACATCCTCCTCATGCTGGGTCCTGCAAACCCTGGACGAGTGCCTTCAGTTCATATCTGCAGATGCCCACTTGGTAGCCTGTCTCTGCCATCACCTCTTTCATGGAACTTGACCTTCAATTTAGACCTTCAATTTCCTGGTTGCCTGGAAATGGTACTAGGGATCACTCCAAATAATGTTGCAGCTTAGTTTTGAAGAACACCAGCTGGAGGTTACCTGGATAGGGCACGGGGTCTATCCACATCAGCCAAACATGGCATGCTTGGATCAGACACCAAATGACCGCTTTAACAAGGTCCATGCTCACATGTGCTGCTAGTCAGGCACCTGATTATCAGCACCGGGGTACCAGGGTCAAAACAAGAGTCAAACGCAGAATAAACTGTTTGGCATTAGCATAGAAGATTTGGCAACTTTTTCAAAGATGCAACCCACATAGTCAACTCTTTTGCTCTTCCCCTACAACTGCATTTTTCTTAGAAATGTAGCACTTTTTAAAGCGAAATAAACAGGCTTTCCAACCGTATAAGAGTCATTGCCAAGAAGCATTAGAAAGAAGAAATAATTGGCAAACACAAATTTACTCAATTTTTGTGCAAAGTTAAAATAACAGAAACTCCGGATCTGTAAATTGAGTGGCAGAAGTGAACCTGCATTCTTGCAATGGCCACCAATGCAAGTCTTCCTGTATTGAAGTCTACATCAGTAAACATTTTCATTGAGTTGATCAGCTTACTCTTATCTTTAATGGTTATTTAATGCAGCATGATGTTCACATTTTGGTCCTTTTGAAAACAATGCTCGTGCTTGTGCTAACATTGCTAAATCTTTTAAAGGAAAAATCACTGTGTAGATGTTTTTGCACCTTTTCCTGTGCTTTAAAGCCTTTAGATAGCAATGTATGAGTGCAAAGTAAGTCGCTTTTAACTTTCATTGACCCAGCCATCGATACGAGGGAGCTCTCTGAGAATACCTAAATGACACGAATAATATTTCTTTTGTCTCTCGACTGCTCTGACATGTTTGCAAAGCATCCTTCAGCAGACGGCTGACTAAGGCCGTGCCACCAGCAGAAACTATGATCTCTCATCACAGTTTAATTTGTAAACAAGAAGAAGAATAAAGGAGAGCCAGCCTTGCGAAGCCAACGTAATAATGCTGAGCAGATCAGATATCATCCCACTGACAGAGACTCAGCGGGAGACTCTCTCATTCAGGGAGAGCTCTCATTCATAGCCAGCATTAAGCCACCATTAAGTCTGAGATCAATGAGCCTTTGCAAAAGGATGTGCGCTTTCTTTGAGTTACAACCTGAGCCAGAAACTAGAAATCTGGAGATGAAGGTGTTTTCTCTGGTGCCTCTCAGCTACTCTCCTCTGCCACCCACTTCTCTGCCTTTATCCAACCAGGAAAGAAAAACAAAGGTGCTCAAAGCCTCTGGAGGTGAGCACATGACACAAGATCTGCTTAAGATAGAAAAAGGTGTCAGGGAAGTCAGCCCACAGAATATTGTTGTTTTCTCTGCTGTCTGATTTTATTTGCATGAGACTCTGCAAGACTTGTTTCCCTTAAAGACAGGCTCACACACACACACACACACACACACAGTTTTATTATGATCTACTGTCCATCCCTCCCGTGCACTCACCTTGACAGTAACTCCGGGGTCACCTCCATGTCTGCCAACAGTCAGTTTCAGGGACCCACAGTTTTCAAAGCACTGATACAAAGAGGGTTCAAACTCAATCCTGATGGTGTGAGGGTCATCCTCCTGGGCCTGGGTCTCATGGCTGCTTACCACCTGAGAAAAAACACGCTCAAGGTTCCAGTAGCTTCAAATATAATATAATGGAGAAAGGCAAATAGAGTGCGTGCCTCACCTTGCGGGCCTGGTCAGCAGCGTGCTTCTTGAGGATGTTACCTGCTCCGATCATCATCCTGGTTGCCTGGATGCGGTAAAATGCTCGGCTCTTTTGCTGCTGCATTAGGACCTAATTAACAAACGCAATGAATCAATAAACCATTTCATGTTAATTTAATTTGCTGTGGCCCAAACAGCCATGCTTTTATGAAAGCAATCACTTTTAAAGAGAGAGCTACAATCTGAGAATTTTCTCCTGGGAGATCCTACACCGCCATAACTGAACTTCAACTCAGTGTCAAAGGTCAACAGCAGATTCCCTGACATTTCCAGAAAGATTGTCTGAAGACAGACAAACTAAATCAGTGCAATAATACTGACAAAGAGTCATTTAACGTAATAACTTCAGGCTTTGGTTGCTGGCTCTCTTCACTGCCAACTTTCATTCTAATGAGGTTTATCAATCTATAAGGAGCGATTTTAATAAAAACGTATGGCTCAATAGTGATGTATTATCCCAACGATCCACTAAATTGAAAATGAACAAAGTGGCCACTGTAGCTGAAAGATCATTAGACTAAATGTGGCCTCAGAGCCGAGAACGCTGCAATTTATTCAAATTTAATGGAAGTGAGCTGACAGAATGTTTATATCTGCATCTCTTTAGATAGAAGGAATAAGTAAGTGTTTAGTTAAGAAACTGATTTGGGTTTTTGCTGCACAAGATCACCCAGCTCCATATCCCATGACGGCAATTTAATTTTACATTCAGTGATTCATTATGACCGCAAGAACTGAAATTTAGCAAGTCAAGTTTAATCTACAGGGCAGCTGTCATTCTTATTTACAGCACGGACTGGAGGGAGTAGCTGCAGGGATAGGGAGGCCTGAAAGCAAACAAACCTCTGGGAGCTGACCAGTGCACATTTGGCCCGCCAAGCTCCTTCCCTCCCCTCCTTCAAAACCGAAACCAAAGACATAGAAATGAGTTGGAGAGGAGGCAAGGGAAGGAATTGGTGGGAAAGCAGAGAAAGGGAGAGCAGCAGAGACTTGGACAGCTTCTACAGCTGAAATGTGTGTGCTGCATAAAAAAGAGGAATCTCTAATGAGCCAGTTTAATGATTACTCCCCATAAAAGTTAAACATTTTAATAAAGTGTGAGCAACTGCTATAACAGAGAGGAGTATGGGTGTGCGCTGACAGCTAAAATGTAGTTACAAAATGCCAAATTTAACTATGAGTTAAATTTTTGAACAATTTTTGCTTAAGGTATCACAACCAACACATCACAAATCTAAATTCTCCCCAAAAAATATTAACTTGAGGCCCGCTTAAGTTCTTCAGCAAAGCATTTAACTACATCTCTTTAAAGATTAAATCAATCGCTGAGAAAAAAAAGGCAGCAATGTTACCGCAAGTCAATATTTTTAAGGCTTCCAGGGTCCAGAACGGGCACTCACGTTAATATATTTAGCTTTCATGTAACTTACCGGGCAAAAAATCACCTGGATGGCAGAGGGGTGAAGGTTTTACTGGTGTCAGTCAAGCCAACAGACAGCTTCCACTCAGTACACTGGTTTAATCAACACTTTATAAAACAGTTTTACTGTGTGTTAAGCTGAGAGAGACTGAGATAATGTGCTGATGCTCAGCCAACTCAATTAACCAGTCGCTAATGTTTTTAGTTTATGTGAACATGCTATTGGTTTGATTGTATGAGACTGCCGTAAGCGTTATAGATTTTCCTCTTTGTAACTTTGTACTGTTTCCTCGGGGAACTGCACCTTCCTCTACTTTCAAAGTCACACTGAATGTGTCATAGCACCATTTCTGAGTCATTATCACCCTCAGAAGAGTAACATATGGAATGTGACTCAAGTTTGCTCGTGTGCTACTGGTTTAGATAGATGGAAATTGATTGAAATAATGATATGTCAAAAGCCTAAGAATTAAAGAATGGAAGTGAGAGAACTATTGAAATTTTGCTATTGCTATTAGCTTTTGGTTGCTAGCTTTTATCTTTATGTTTACTAGCACCTCCAAAACTTCCTCATACCAGCACATACATATCTCATCGTGTGCTACTGGTTTAGATAGAAAATCTGGAAATTGATTGAAATAATGATATGTCAAAAGTCTAAGAATTAATGAATGGAAGTGAGAGAACTATTGAAATTTTGCTATTGCTATTAGCTTTTGGTTGCTAGCTTTTATCTTTATGTTTACTAGCACCTCCAAAACTTCCCCATATCAGCACATACGTATCTCATCTTTCATTGTCTAAATGAAATCAGTCTCTTTGTAATCTTCTGTAAAACTACAACATTTCTAGTGGAAATTATTTTCAACAGAAACTAGGGGGGGCATGCTTTACAGCTTATGCTAGCCTGAGTTAAGCTAATCACGCCTCTGTTTGTAACACCGCAAAACTTAACTTGATTTAACAAGTTGTCAAAGTTGATTTAAAAAAGTATTAATAGGGGTCATGATATATTAGCATTGATGACAATCATGGCATCTAAAATGAATCAGTACTTACAGATAATAATAATAATAATAAGATATTAATACTGAGAATATTCCAGCATTAACAACTATTTTTTGACACTCTAATATACAGTCAATGGCCATGTCATTGAATACACTTTGCTAGTCTTAGGTTGGACAACAACAACTTGTTCAAAACATTCCTCAGAGATTTTGGCCCATATAACATAATAATAGCATCACACATTTGCATCCATCCCAAAGATGCTCTATTGGATTGAGATATCTGGAGACTGTGAAGACAATTTGATTACAGTGAACTCATTGTCATGTACAAGAAAGCGTTTTGAGACCATTTGAGCTTTGTGACGTGGTGTGTTATCCTACTGGAAGCAGCCAGCGATCATAATGGAAAGGACATAGTCAGCAACAATCCTCAGGTAGGCTGTGGTGTTAAAACAATACCATTTGATTGGCTGATTGGATATTTGCATTGAGTAGTTGAACAGGTGTACCAAATGGGATGGCCAGTGAGTGCAGATGATGTTGTACTGGTTATTAGGCTGTATACCATGTATAAGAAGGCAAAAGTGTATAGCTACTACTGTTTTATAAAATCCTGCTTATTATCAAATGCCAATGAACCTGTTCTTTGTATATGGTTTTAAAAAGTTATTTGAATCGTGATAATCGTGTGGTGGAAATCTGATATAGTCATGACTTCCAGAGCTTAGACATCAATGGGATTGGGTGCTGCTAACCTGATAATTAGCCATCTCAATCAGCTGCTCCATGTCTTTATCCGGGTGCCTCTGCTTCAGCTCCTTTAGCGTCCTTGCCATGTCCCTCCTAGCCTCGTCCTCATCGTCCTTTGCTCCTCCATCCTCCATCATGCCTCCATCCATCCCGCTGTGACAGTTCAGCGCTATCTGTCCGTCCAGCTCCAGCATGTCCATCTTGGTGAAGCCCCCTGGACCCAGCACTCCACCCCCTCCTCCTCCATCCATGCCTAGCCCTCCATCAGCCCCACCCTCTGTCTCAATAATGATTCCCCGATTCTTGTCGGCACGGTAACGCTTGCGGACATACTTGTAGAAGAGAAGGCGGCGGTCGGCCACCCAGGCCTGGACCACGCAGAGTGGGAAGTAAAGGAAAGTAAGCACTGCCTCCCACACCTGAATGAGAGAAGAGATGTGATTAAAAGCGTTTCTGTTTTATTCTCCTCCTCTTATTTCATCCCAGTGATTTCTTTCTTTAAACTTCAGCAGTTTTTACATAAAACTGTCCTCACCTCCACCTCTCCAGGGGAAAAGACACTCAGAATCAGGTAGAGCCAGATGTAGGCGAAGATACTCCAAGCCGCCGTGACAAAAAACACCCGAAGGTGTTTGATTTTGCGCGTTTCTCCGTCGGGGACCACATACACACACAGAGCGATGATGACGAACATATTGAAGGCGGCGCTGCCCACAATGGTGCTGGGACCTAGATCACCAGCCTCAAAACCGTGACCGCACACCTGCAGTTGGAGGTGAAAATAAGATTACTGTCTTTCCATTACATTCTCTATCAGTTAATCTGACGTGTAGCCTGCAGGCTCATGTTGCACTGACCTCAATAACAGACAGCAGTATCTCAGGGGCACTGGAACCCAAGGCCATTAGAGTGAGATTAGAAACAGTCTCATTCCAGATTCTCACGGTGGCTGTGGTGGTCTCACCATTCGACTTCTTTATGGTGATCTCCTTCTCTTGGGAGGTTATCACCTGGAGTGGAGAGGGCGTAAAGAAAGAAATAATATTGGATTTATTAGTTTTATACAGGTTACCTATTAGTGGTCTAATATCAGTAACTTATAGTGCAATCTAATAACAATTCAAAGAATATTCATTGACTTACCTCTATAGAAGACATGAACCGGTCCGCTATAATGCTCATGCCCAGGAACATGTAGATGAGTGCTACAAAGTAAACAATGGCTCGTGCCACTTTATCTCCTACAGAGGGGTTCTGAGGGTTCCAGACAGGCAGCACCACTCCTGCAATCAAAAGAAAAGATAAAGGTGGAAAAAGGTCAAATCATTTTTCAGCAATATCACAGGGAATATTTGGTTGCAACAGAGTTGTGTAATCATTCTCCGCCTCTCTAATCCTATAAAGCCTGCCACTGTGAGCATGTTGTGGACACCACAGAGGCAGCATAACCTCATTAAAGATTATTGTAAGTGGGAAATTTTCTATATGGTCTCATTTGTCCTACTAAAACTTAGTGGAACTGTTAAAGTTAATGAAAGCATGAAAACTTACCCCAAAGTGATCAACGTTCTAGATTTGTGGCATTAAATTGACATATTTCACTTTTAACTCACCGGTGGCACATTTTTGCTCATCTGGCAGACCTTTCTGATGCCTGATGTGACACTGTCGTGAATATTCTCCTGACTTTATTTCACTTTCATAGACCATTGACACCTAGCAAATATGTCCCTTCAATGTTACTTGCACATCTGGACAGGACATATGGAATGGACGATGCTGTTATAAGAAGTTATACTACTTGGTTTAGAATAATTAAGTGGTGTCATAAGAGAAATACACAATACTGTGCAAAACATTTGCGTCATGCCTCATTTTTTAATATTTTGCTAAGAAAATGTGCAAAAGTATATAAAACAACAGCACAGTTCATGCGATTCTAACAAGCTCGACGGTTATAGTTCTGCTTTAGTTCTCCAGGCTTCTAGAAGGACATCCAATGCTCTTCTTTGGCTGCTGGCTGCTTTTTGTTCTGTTCACTGTCAGGATGATCCGACACTGCTTCAAAAATGTTGAGCTCCATACGCTGAGGCGGTGTTCCCTAGCATGTTAATACTCCATAATCAGCGAAGGAGAAAATGTGTTGAAATGTGTTGAGTGTCAGGCTGATCGTCATGTTTATCGGTTCGCCTGATTGCAAAAACTTGGCTGGTTCACAGGCAGCCAAACTAGAGGCGTAACCCATTTTATTGAACCCTCTCAGTTCACTGCACTCACTGAGAGGTTTACATGCAGAAGTCTAATCATGTCAGTGCTTCTTTACTTCTTTACAGTGCTTCTTTCACATTAAACTGCAGTTTTCTCACAGACCCACCTTCCTGACAGGGGTCTCCACCAGAGGAACAGTTTTTCTTTCCGGCACCCGCACTGACCGATCCAGGGCATGACAGCAACAAAAAGAAGGAGAGAAGGAGGCAGAGAAGGAAAGAAGAGGGAGAAAAGTGGAAAGGGCGGAGTGAGTTGAGAGAGGACGGAGGCTTAGACATGGCTGCCGGAGCCATTTCTGCTGATGTGGACCTTCACTGGACTCTACCGAGTTGTGCTCTGGGTCAGCTCAGTGTAGGTCGATACCTAAAACCTGGAGACAGACAGAGAAAGGGTGGATTAAGTACTCTACTGTTCATTAACACCTATTTATGAATTTTCACACAAACTGTTTCAGTTCACTTAATTGTATTCAGTATGAAAACAACTGTTAGGTGTCTTCAATTAAAATGTTCTGAAATCCTGCGCTGTGTTTCATGTGAGGAAAACAGCTCAGGTGAGCTGTCAGCGAAACCTTATATGTGTGACGACTTTTTTTCTTCCTAGAAGTCAATAGAACATAGTTGCAAAGTGCTTTACAATGCATTTGAACAGATACAATGAAATGAAAAAGCAATAAAAGCAATAATGGAAAGTCATTACTTAAAGAGAAGTTTAAGAAAGAGTCTGTAGAAGTGCTGTAAATGATGATGCACTTGTAGCCAGCATCTGTAATCAAGTTAAAACAATAAAGCTGAAGCAGATGTAGCCAGCTGGAGCTGCTCGGGAACCCAGATGAAAAAAATCAATCACTACAGAACAGTCAATAGCAGCTTCGAAGCAAAGCAGACAGTAAGAACTTGGAGATTGTTACACAGTTACGTGTTCCATTGCTAAAATATGAATACAAAAACTCTATTTTGATAATCAATAATTAACAAAAGCACCCTTGGCAAACTGCAATCACAGACGATGGTTGTGCTTTTATGAGAACACAATCAATTCTAGTCAGAATCAGTCCTGGAGAAATCCACAGGGGACGTTTTCATTGCAGGAAAAGAAATCAGTAACTTTTGTGTCTCTTTCACATCGTGCTTGGCTTGTTTGCTGTCTGTCTAGTACAATGATCAGCATGCTCCGTGTATCCCTACCATCAACAAATTGGCTGGTTCATTTACTCTTTTAAAGACACCAGTTACAGTGGACAGAGTGGATGGCCCCAGAATAACTAACATCCAGGGTCCTTTAATAAAACTGTTCTACAGACTCTGTTCTGCATTAAACAGTCAAATCTTATATGAGCTCTTAGCTACGGCGCAAGTTACTTTTTTCAGGAATTGGTGGAGACCAAAACAGAGCTAAAATCTAAAATACTTAATTTAATAAGTAGATAGCCCCAAAGAAGAAATGTTTGCCTTGCCAGGTTTGCAATGTGACATTGTGTCATTGCTGTTTACTGTCTCTACACTGCTCTGCATTTAATCATTCTTCTCTCACCCACAGCCAGTTGTGCCCCGCCCTGACACTGGTTCTGTTGGAGATTTCTTCCTGTTAAAGGGGAGTTTTTCTGTCCTACTATCACCAAGTGCTTGCTCATATATAGGGGTGGTCTGATTATTGGGGTTTCTCTGAATTATTATAGGGTCTTTACCTTACAATATAAAGTGCCTTGTTGTGATTTAGGGCTATATAAATAAAACTGAAGTGCATTAAATATCTCTCGCCAAAATGGATCAATCCATCCCTGCGGGTTTAAAGATTGCAATTTCACACCCTGCTATAGAAGACCGAACAAATAAAACTCTGAATTTGAATGTAGAAACATTCAGCACTGATTCCTTTAAATTTGGGCATTCTCCATCGATTCTTTCTGTTTCCACCATTGGCCTTGATTGTAGTCTTTCATGTGTGAATCTTGAATCTTTACACGCAAGTTACTGCAATATTTAAAACAAAGAGCAGCTTTAAATGCCGCTCTTTGCTGCACATTTCTCTGGCAGCAAACATAAGCTAAGCTGGAAACAAGCAGTCGACAGCAGAGATACAACAGCAATCTGTTTTTGTGACGAGGAGTACAAGTGACTGTTCAGCGTGAACGGTTTGTGAGGGAAAATGCACCAAAACAAAGGGAAGCGAAATGGTTTGACCAGGCAGCGTTAGGTCAAACAAGTGCAAACGGTCATGGAGACAGACACGCACACATGCACCAATACACAAAAAACACCCAAATGCACAAACTGTGTCAAGCACCCTCATGGTGCAGAAGTTCCTGGCCTCGTACTGACATCCTCTCAAGCAAACACAAACACGCTCCACTCTCTGGGTTAGTCCAATCTGGACAAATAAAAACTGCTGACCCTGTTTTTACACACACACCTATGCACACACAGCCGTGGTTAGTCATGAGTCGTGACATTAGCGTCAAGTTGCTGACCCTGTCTTAATCTATCTTCCAGGGTCTCGCCGCTCTGACAACAACATGTCACTTTAAGTCACTTCTCTCCTCCGCCGTCTTCTTCTAACGCACCCTTTTCTTTTTCAGTATTTATTTTTTGTCCCTTTTAACCAAAAATGACTTCACTCCTGCATTGCAGCATGCTTGGTTTTGTTTTCAGTGGTCACATCTCAGGATTATGTTTAGAAATCATGTACGTCCTCCTGGTACTAAAATGTGTTTTGGCAACTCTGTGCACACGTCTCCAGGGAGGCATAAGATAATCTGAGGGTCTTTATCTTGGTTAGGCACGCAGTCATTGCATTAGACGTGAATATACTTCAAACTTGCACACCTATGCGTTCTTCTGCATTGAAACAAAGTTCATGCATTACCCATAATACACTTTGACCACTGACAGTTTGATTCGGGTGTGTTATGCATGTAAAACCTATCGTAGCCTTGAGCAGATAGCCTCAAGCAGAGATGAGATATTGGGGAAGCTCACTTTTTTGTGCACTCAAACTTTTTTTCAGTTTCTACTTGTAGTCTTCAGCACCGACTCCTTGCGGCTGTTTGTCAGACTTCACACCACTCCCTCTGGAGCAACAAAAAGCTTTTTCTTTTTTAAAATTTGTTCACAGGCTTAGATAAAAGTCTCTGTTCAGATCTGCATACATTCATGTGCAAAATCCTTTAACTCCCTTTATCATTTCTGCTTCATAATGTCCTTTTGTGTTGCAATACGCCGTGCGCCCAGAGCCCTGGAGGCTCTCAGTTCTCGGGCACTTCCTGCCTTGCTCGTTAGTAATCCAGCCTTCAGCATGTGACTTTTCACCTGTGGGCCTACAGCCACGCGGCAGTGATAAACGGAGACAATCCTCATAGCCTCCCATGTTAAATGGTCCAAGTTTACAACGTTAAAAGCATGCACATTCATTGCATGTTAGGACTTCCAACTCCTCCAGGCAGGAGATAAGCTAGCAGGCTAACAACAGCACAAACAGGAGTAGCTCACATCAGCAGCTGTCTACAGATTTCTGACAACATATGAAAATATGAAGATAAATTTCTATTCAGTAATAGTGAGTGGTATATTTTTGTTTCTAGATTTTTCACAGTAGTAGTTGGATCATTTTAAATCATAATCATCGCGTTGCTGCTGAAAAGGTCCCTAAAGTTCATTTCTGATCCTTTATTTCCTGTTTTCCTCTTACTTGCTTGATCTCCTTTTCCATCTCCCTCTCAGCTTCATTGTCAGTCACCCACGCCTCCTGCACCCTCATGTCTCCAAGTCAATGTCCTGTTGTCCTCTGTCTCTCTCTCTCTCTGCCCACATGGACTGTCACCACTTCACGTCTCAAGCACCTCTCAATATCCCCCGCTCAACCACTCTTTCACACCTCCTTTTAGTTCAACATCCCCTGCTCCATCCTGATCGGTAAACAAATCTAAAGCTGTTACAGCTTAAAATATCTACACAGTTCATGCTGGTGCAAACACTGGTAATGGAGGGAATTATGGGTAAAAAAAGTCCCTTTAGTTTTCTATAGATTTCAGCTCTATATGTCTGGTGAGAGCCTCTGAATGGGCTTTCACAAACACAAACGCAGGGGCTAAATGTAGAAATAAACGGCTGTGGCTTTATGTAGCCGTAGCTGAAGCTTACCAGCTCGATTTGTGTCAAGGTTCTTCTAATTTGTATTGAGGTACTTTTGTACTTTAAAAAACGCTATTAGCCTTTTCCAGGGCTGAGTCGAGATGCTTTCTAATTTAAGGAGCAACCTTTAAGTGATAATGTGCAAACAGAGATGTCGGCACACAGATGAGAAAAGGAAGGATGAGCAGAATAATAGGAGATTGTACCGACTAAAGTAGGACCCTAAGAACATGTAACCCTCAGTCATCTTTATTACACCAGGAAAAAACACATTTATTGTTTGTTTTCCCAAAAGTTGTCCACTTAATGTTTATTACAAGGGGCTTTGTTCGTAAGACCTAATACAAATTACTGGAGTATAAGCAGAGGAAAAATCGCATTTTTATTGTGTTAGTCGGATTTTCCTCGAGGCTTGAGGCCAAGTCCAAGGCTCCGAATGACTTCTTAACCCTGGTGCTTGTGTTTGTGCTGCATTTGTTCCTTATTCCCTCAAGACTTCGTGTAAGAACTGAATCATTCTGACTTATCACACACACAAAATGACCTCTTCTGACATAAAAGCAATGTTTGTGTGTGTGTAAATTAGAATATCAACACATGCACTGGCACAGAGACAAATACTCGGCTGCGCTGATTCACACACAAGCACAGACACACTCCTGCCAAATAGCTTTTTCTGCTTTCACTCAAGCCGACAGGTGTTCGTGTGAACTTAGGAATGTGTGAAAATACCAGTAAATTTGAACATTGTTTGATGCTTGTTGCAAGTGTTGGACGCCACAGCAATTACAAGGATGAAAGGACTACATGGTCTACATTTTTCATTAAATGCCATTCAGTGTTTGCACACTTTGTAATCAGTTCTCTTTACAGGGATTCAGCGTGCAGCGGTAGACTCTGCTGTTCCTCCAGACTGCCTTTGTACATACATTTTTTTTTTTTTGCCTGTCCCGTTTGGCTCTTTTGCCATCAGAATTATTGTCTAAAGGCGAAGAAAGATGCCCAACGGATTTACTTTACCAAATGGACCATCCCAGCCTTGCCGTAATGGTCTATTTGATTCACCTTTTATTGTTTATTTTATTTTTTATTTTCACTTGCTAGATACGGGACAGACTTGAATGAGGAAAAGAAAAGGGAGAAAGGAAGAGGGGGAAAAACAGCAGAGAAGAGGGACGGGGAAAAACAACTAAATAAGCAGACAAAAAAAATACATTTATCAATCACCTGGATCACCTGT